AAATTTAGTTTCTCCCCATTCCCAGTATTCCTTCCGGAGTAAAAGTCAATGACATATTCCACCTTGGTACCGCACCGGTCGACGATCCAATCGTGCCGGTCAAACGGCGCCGTGTACCCCAGGAGAGTATTAATCCTTGCCTTGGGCGTCATGTTGCCCTTTTCTCCCGCAAAAGAATAGAGCCTCGGTCCTCCGCAAGATTTTGAATCGTAAGGAGCTTCCCATTTGAGGATCTCTGCCCAGGCGCGCTCGTTCACGGCGTTGTGGATGGGGACCACAGTCTTCATGTCGCTGGCCTGAGCCGACGTGAAGCCTTTCCGTTTCATGGCTTCGAAGAATTGTTTCTCGGAGGGGTAGATCCAGTGCCCGGACTCGGAGGCGCCGGTTTCTTGCTCGTGGTTCGAAGGGCGGGCTTGTGGTGGGCCGGAGGGGTCGGAGGAGCGGGGGATCGAGGAGATGGTGCGCTCTTCGCCGAGGATATTTTGTGGAGATACAGCGCGGGGTTTTGATGTTGCTACTGCTGCTTGTTCTTGCGAGGGAAGGCTAGGGGAGGAGGAGAAGGGGTTTCGGAGCCATGATGTCCATGATGATTGCTGTGCTTGGGACTGTTGTGGTGGTTGCTGTTGTGATTGTGGTTGTGATGGTGGGAGCGCAATGTTGCTTGTGGGATGTGGTTGGGGGAGGGGTGGTGCTGGTTGTCCGGCTTGTTGTGCTGCTCTTGCCTGTTGCAGCCAGAGATCGCGGGTCTTGTGGTCGACTGGGCACTTCTCCTCCCCCCCAGGGGCACTTTCTGATCCCTTCATCTTGTTCGCTGCTGTGTTTCCTCCTCTTGCTGCCCTTCCAGCGCCGCTCCCCTCACTTGCCTCCGGAACCACGTCTTTGCCTGCGAGAACGGTATCGAGCAGGTCGGTGTGCATGCTTCTGGGTTTGTGGGTGGCACTTCTACTTCGATTGGTCCAGAGAGGGGTTGTTGGGTAGTTTTGGTTTTGGTTTGAACAAGTCAGAGAAACGTCAGTCCCGAGAAGCTTGGGCGCAATGTTCATGAACTGATGAACCAGTCACGATTGGGACAAATTATTTTGTCAGCTGCCACTTTCCAGATCGTCGGATCACGCTTGATTGGCCAGCTGGCATGTATGCCCCGCCCGGCCCACTCATTGCGACTTGTCTGAGTCTCTAAATTTGTTCAGAGCAGACATTCCAAGACTCGAAGGCAAAATGAAACTACTGCCCTTAGAATCGAAATTCCTCACTCATTTTGGTCAATATCTTCCATTCGAGAACTGCATAAGAGCAAACAATCTCGGTGTCGCCAAGTACAGAAAGCGAGAACTCCCAATGGATCTAGTCTTGAACCTCTGGAGCTTTGACCGCAGCATCACGGATCATGACCTCACAGACTTCCGTTAAGCCGGCTCCAGTCATTACCATGGCCCTCCGAGCTTTCCGAATAGGAATGCCTTCACATATTCCAGTTGAGCAAGTGATACAACAACACATCGGGTCTTGAAATTGAAGTTTGAAATGTTTTTCTCATTTCTTTGGAATATCAATGCTATTTTCCCATCCCCTCCAAACCCATGCTGTCATCCCCGGCCCTTCCCCAGTGATAGGCCTTGGGATGTTACTCCTTTGGCTTCTCACACTCTCCTTCAAGCCCTTCTTCGCCTCAATCCTCCCCAGAGCAGGAACTGATATCCATGCCCTGCACAAACCATAGTACTTTTCGTACAAACAAAATAAAAGGGCGCCCCCATGATACTCGTAAAAAGCAGTCGATTTTGGTTGATGCCGCCCCCCGAGCCAGTGTTTTGCGTTCCGTTGTCCCATATCCCAATGCTTTTGTCGGCCGGCCTTGTGTAGCCGATCCTGGCGGCGGTGTCCTGCACTCTCATGCGAAGCCATCCGCTGCGTGCCGTGTCAAGTAGTATACACCCTGGTATCTCATGCCGGTCTTATATAAAAGTGGTGAAATGGGCTCTTAGGGACCCATGGCTAAATGCGTGAGGTGTTGTTGGAAAGTAGAAAAAATGCCCTCATCCCGTTCCAGGGATGAGGGTTATTGAAGAAAGATAATGCTTCATATAGCGAACTCAAGCAAACGCCGCGGCACCGCCAGTCTCGATAGCCTCAATCTCAGCGAGGGACAGGCGAGTGCGGTGGAAGCGCTCGGGGAGGTCGTTGCGGTCAAAGTAGAAGCCCTTCGGAGGGGCAACAGAGCCCAGGGCAGAGCCAGCGTTTCCGCCGACGCCAGCATCAGCACGGATGGTCTTGCGGAGGGGACCAAACTGCTGGGCGTGGTCACGGTAGGCCGAGAAAGAAGTGTGGGAAGACTTGCCCCAGTCGGCCGGGAGAGATTGAGAGGGAGCGGCGGGGTGAGGTTGAGGAGAGTGGTCGACGGAAGCTATGCCAAGGGGAAAAGTTCATGTCAGCACTGATTTCGCTCGGGGACCGAAATATACATACAAGGAATAGTGCGTCTGCCGATGAAGCGAATGGAAGGAGTGCGCTCGGCATGCTGAGCAGCCTGGCGGAGGACTCTGGTGGCGAACATTGTGATGGTTGTCGGTGGTGAAGTTGACTGGATGCCTCGGGGAGTTTTTTGTGTGCAGGATATTCTCGGCGAAGCTCCGGTTGTGCCGCTCAGGTAATTTTCTCCTCGCGTCGATGGATGTCCTGGACTGGATATTCGGCGGGCGATGGTGTTGGCAAGACTTCGGTTTATTTGGGACGATATACGGGACAGATCGAGCGAGGAGAATTGAGCGACAGGCAAATGGCTTGCTTGAGAGAAACAGAATCCGACAGCACCGAGGAGGGATGGGCAGAGGGGAGATAAATGGGGATTTTCACAAGCTCCCGATTTTCCTGGATGAGAAGCCTTCCCCACGGTGTCTGGGTGGCATCGACCAATCAGGATGTTCTTCGTCTTTGTCTTGGCCAGGATCCCCGAAGTCCGGAGTTGGGACTGCAGCACTGGCGCCAGAAAACCACGCCATTGCCTGGCGCCCAGCACTCCATCCCACGCTGAGCCCTTCCCTTTTCCAGGACCTCTACGCAACCCCACCCACCCGTTTCTTCCCGTTGCAACACTGCGGGCGTCCATTGCGGTCCATCTCGAACGAGGTAATTGCACATGCGACAACCCTCGTGGAAGTGCAACGCGCCAGTTGTAAGGCAGAGCGGAAACGCACCGACCAGCCAATATTTCCCCGGAAATGTTCATTGCGCAAACTCTAATATTCTCAGTTCTCACTCGGGTCCAGAACGCCGGCGGCACCACACAAGAACCAGGGGAATTCATCCTCAGGTTTGCCACTCCGATACCGTACGGGCCCAGAGAGTCAAATTACTGTTTGCCAATGTGCTGGGCCTCCGGGAGGTGGTCTCCGCGCATTTTACGTACCCAAACGTGCTAAAACCCCACAGCTTATCTTTTTGATAATGGTGAAGTGTAAAACGCATCCATGGCTTCATCAACCCCTCCGCGCGAGACTGGCGCGCCGTAGCGGATGAAATTGCGCTAGCAGTCGTCGGATCATCGCGCAGGCCTGCCCTGCGCCCTTTTCCCCGCGTTCCATTGCCAACTTTTCTCTGGTGTTGACCATCACAGGTTGGTGCGATCCGTCGACGCCATGAGGTGATTTCGAGTTGGGTGCCAATGAACCATGCGATCAGCGACGAGCAATGGTAGGCGGACAGGCAGACAGCGGCGCTTCTGTCACATTTTGGTTCACTTCTTCTCTCACATCTCACCATTCCTCCCCACGCACTAGTCGAGTAATATCCGGTTGAGGGCCCAAAGCGAACACCATTGCAGATGCCCAAGACTTTGGATAACACCCTCCTTCGAGTCTCGAAACCCCAGAGTTTGCCCTTCATCATCAATCGTGCATGTGAACTGCATGTGAAGAGGACACCTCGCTGCAGGTTACTCGTTTGCCCGATCTCATCGTCCAATTCCCCCGCTTCGGTGCCATTCAGCACGGACTTAATCGCCGCGTCTTTGACTTCACCTGCCCCTCATTCCAATGACGGAATGGCGTGGATTTATTGTTTTCTGGGGTTGATGGGCTGACGGATAGTTCATGACCCCCGTCGTTCACGATGTTCCCTTCAACAGGGGGTCATGGAGCGTTCGGAGTCTGAGGGGGAGTTGATGTCATCCCGAATCCCGACTGCTTGTCTGCAGTGTTGTAGAACCTCCTTGGCTGCATGTGACGGAACTTGATGCGATGAATATCTGTTCATACAGCATTCGTTGTATAGGTACTTTGTTCGTGATGCATCTGCATTTCCTTCATCGTGCTGGTCATTATCCATCTCCTTCGCGCCTAACTGTTCGTTTTATATGTTTCATCCCTCGATATCCACAGCGCCATCCTCACCATCCGCCTTGTCCTTCGTCATGGCGTCCTCGCCCAGGCCACTTCCGAGGCGCGCGAGTCCCTTTATGGGCATCCCGCCGTTTATAACTAGTCAACCTTCCTAAACGGGAGTCTCTGCGCCAATGCGGTCGGGACTCTGATTTCTCATCAATTACTCGATTACAATTACTTTAACAACTCCAACTCTGATAAACGGTGATGTTTATCCTCTCTCCGGCGCCAACCTCCAGCCTTGCCATTTCCAAGCACATCACGACATCCTCACGTCGACACACGGACGACGCGAGGCTCATGCCATGGCCGGGTATTTACGGAATGACGAGGGTGCCAATTCTCATAAGCCGGCCTCCACTCTCCCATCTCGCATCGCGGCAGTCCGAGATCTCGTCGGCCTTTTTGGATGGAGTCGTGCGGTCGTGAGTGGATATCAAACTAACATTCGGCCCGGAAGTCCCAGCAAGGTCTTGCCTGTTGAAGGGTTTCCACGGTTTACGTCAAACTCGGGAAGTTTAGGTAAACCGTCCCGACACGGAAAAACTTTCTTTCCTATATCTCTTTACACTGTGGTTCATAAGCTGGGTTGCAAAGCAAGATATTCAACCATCACACCAAGCCCGATTAGCTCAGCTGGTTAGAGCGTCGTACTAATATCTCTTCTTCCAAGAAATATCAAGTGATGCGAAGGTCAACAGTTCAATCCTGTTATTGGGCATCGTCCTTTTCTTTTTTCTCCCTTGGGCTAAGGATATGATCTTCTTTTTGCTTCTCGGCTGCCCAATAGGTGTTCACGAAAGGACACTTCCAATAAGTAAATGCAGTTCTTTGGTGTTCTGTGACGTGCCAGGTATTTGACCTCCTCATTACTATCTGGTACACCTCGCATCAAATAAATCACATTATGCCCCTCCGTCACTGGTATCCATTTTGCCCGGCCCCCTTGCAGTCTCCCACCCATCCGTTCAGACCTTTACACATTCACAGCAGTCCCCATAGTCGTATTCCCAGCAGTCGGCGGCAGAGCCTCTCTCGGAGTGTGAACTTGAGCTGTCTCGGGAGCAGTATTATGCGGGAGTGGTGCGGAGATATTCCTCGAGGTCCTGATATCAACCTCATCAGCATCGTCATTTCCCCATTGTATTATCCTCTTTCAAGAACCAAACTTACACGCCGCCGGTAGTAGTCTGCCGGTCCTTGTTGTAGTGTCTCTTGATGACAATACCGCCCTGTTCATGCAATCCACGTCAACATTTCCCCATCTCAAGTAAATTCGTCAAAACGCTGTTCAGGATGATACTCACCAGAATAGAGCTGACCAAATACGCCATAGAAGCCATAAACGAAAACGCCAGCAAAGCCCTCCACGACGAGCAAGGCCCTCCGTACCCCCAACCTCCCCAGAAGGGGTTCACCCACCACCGACCCCAGTAGTACCCCCAGTAGTTCCAGTAGTAGTCTGTGTTGCAGCTTCCGGATCTCTGTTTTTTTGTCTCTATCAGTGATCGCATCTCGGCATAGGAGGGGGGGAATTGGATGAACAACTTACAGCAGCCAAAAGGGAGAAAGCGACAAGCCACATGATGAACAGGACAAAATCCGCCGGGAACGCCAAACAAGAGTACAAAAAGGGGAGGATAAACACGATTGAGAATAACGTGCTGATGGAGGCCACGACGATGGCGTAGACAAGACGGCCGTCGGTCCAGCGGTCAGGAACTTCAGACGCAAGATGCAGGAACCGCCCCAAAAGGCCGAGGCAGATGACTGAGCAGACTAGTTCGAAGAGGCGGAGGACTAATCATTTCACCATAGACGGGAAGTCAGTCGACGGACGATGGCTAAGGGGCAGAGAGACAGGGGGAATCTAGAACGGTGAGTAGGGCAGGACAGGACATATGCGTACGTGGTAATACCACACCACGCGCATTAAAGGGAGGGAAAAGAATGATGAGAGTGATCGTACCCAGTATTGCGGGTCCCATGCTGTATGGTTTCTCATGGTGACGAGACATTTTTCCTCGTTCTCTTGGCTTTCAAATTTTGATTTCGTTACGGCAGCTCAATCAGAGAGACAGGATGATGTGTTTCGATCGTGAGATCCAGAGCTCTGGGTCTTGGACCCAAGCAGCTAATAAACAGCTTCAGGGTTCTTTGTCTTTGGAGCTCTACGAGCTGGCACTAGCTATAAACGTCACTTGGGATTCTGATGGGGGTTGAGCTCGGTTTAGATCGGTGGTGGTGGGTGATGAAGTTCTTTGTTTGAAAATCGGCGATATTGGGGAGCAGAGACGGAATAGGGGTCCACACTATCCTGAAAACAGACAAGAACATGATCTTTGGGAGAATCGACGGAAGCAGCCATTTTTAAAGATGGTCGAGATCTTGGGATGGGTATGAGATCTACAGTTGGTAATAAATCTGGGTATGGTTGGTTTATGTGTGAGGGATAGGAACTATAAGTCCAGTCACAACTGAAGCCATACAACCAAGTAACCACAATATCAGGACCATGAACTTTCAACCAATCGACTTCATTAAAAGTTGGATTCTAGCCTTGTAACGACGACAAATCAAATCGAGAAGGCATAGCCTTACGTTTGCAGACAGTTGGCTCACTGTCACCCCTAAGGTATCACAATACACACCAAGACCAACATAAACACGGCTTCAGTCCACTCCTCTGCTTGATCCCCAACAGGGGATGAAAAAAAAAAAGTTATTTTGGTATCTACGGGGACATATCAATGTTCAAAAAGAAACTACATCATCAACCACCAGAAAAAAGACTGCAAAAAGAATGGCCGATTTTCGTCGACGGGAATTGAGCCCGACGTGGGGGTCGAACCCACAACCTTGAGATTACGGAGGAACTCCTTAAGAGTCTCACGCTCTACCGATTGAGCTAGCCGGGCAGAAGCCGACTTGACCGTGTTGTTAACAGTGAATGACAGAACTTCTGCTTTTGAAAGCAAGGTTTTCCCCGTGTGTGTGTGTGTGTGTTATTGTGTGGAAATTCCGTGGTTGTGGTTGTGTGTGGCTTGCGGCATTTTGGGAGAGAAATTTTCATCCAAGGTTATGCCCGTTGTGACTTTGTGTAAGTGGGTGGGGTGGGTTCAGATGAAAGACAAAGAAGAAGAGGAGACCTTCCACTCCAACGGGCACCATATCTGATGGAATTGTGCATTTGTCTGAAAAGCATTGGAGATCGAAAAGAAAGCACTCTCTCAGGTGATGGAGAGAAAAGAAATAGATGCAAGACACATGCACAGATCTGATAGACAATTTGGTACTTCACCAAAAATAACCAAAGTGAAGAAGGAGCTAAGAGACTTAGACACCGGCAAAAGTAAGGGTAATTGCCCAATAACAGGATTGAACTGTTGACCTTCGCATTGGATGACTTGATATCACCGTGAGATGATATTAGTACGACGCTTTAACCAGCTGAGCTAATCGGGCTTCTTTACGAATAGTTGTTGCTGAAAATCTGCTAAGTTTCTGGAACCAAGTGAGGGAAAACGGAGGTTGTGTGCCAAGACTTCACGGGTTTCCACGTTCGGCAGTCAATAAAGCTTCAATAAGACTGGACCCGAGATCTGTCAGTCACGCTGTACGGTCTCAACCACAAGATAGTTTGATAAAAGAGGCATGTAAAAAGCAATTGATCTTCCATGTTAACGATTGAGGCACTATAAATTTCGGTGGTTTCCATAGAGATCCAAAAAGCAGAGTATCATCTTTCTTGATTGGAGTGTAACCATCGACCCCTGAACCCGTGAGTGGATCTTGAGCCGATGTGCATATCCCTGCACCACCACAAAGAAAAATACCGCAAAAATATGAGTTTTCTTCTGATGAGTAGAGATGACTTTGGACGAGCTGGGAATCGAACCCAGGACCTTTCGCATACAGGAGAGTATGCTAAGCGAACGCTCTACCAACTGAGCCACACGCCCTTCGCTATTTGATGAAGTGGTGATGTGGTATACTGCTCCATACTCGCGTTTGCAGCTGGCTTTGGGACCTCAGATCATCAGATGATACCTACTTGCGCCAACAAAGCCATCTTCCTCAGAGATTGGCTCTCTGTTTGTAGCTCTACTTCTACTCGAATACCAACATCATCTTAGACTAAAGGCTCTCACACTTCTCAAGTCTTCAGAAGCATGCGAATGCCCCACATCTGCAATGTATGAGCTACACCATTCGCCCTCGATGGCGTGATGCAATCATAGCGTTGAATCACACCTCATATGTCTCCCCCGCATATCAACGGGAATAAAGCGCATCATTAGTTCTAGGTAATTCAGAGGATCCTCAAGTTCATGGAGAGGGCACATCCTTCGAGTCACACAATCTGTAAGCCAAGTATTTACCACACTGAATTCACGAAGGAGCGCCGTCTCACTAACATGGAAGTCACACCGAACACAGCCTCATACTCGTGTCCCCTCATGGCAAGCAACGAAGAGCAAGATCAAGCTCCAGAAGTGACAAAGGAAGCAAGTTCAGGGGCCAACGCAGACTATGACCTCTCCCAACCCCTAGACCCCGATGGTGTCGGCCTCCGCCAAAAACTCGCCTCCTACGGCGACCCGCACTTCTCCCTCTTCATGCGCAAGCTCTTCATCAAAGCCCTAGGCTACAGCGAAGATGCCCTCTCCCGCCCCATCGTCGGGATCGTCAACACCTACTCCAGCTTCAACCCGTGCCACGCCAACATCCCCCAGCTCATCGATGCCGTCAAACGAGGCGTCCAGCTAAGCGGCGGACTTGCCATTGACTTTCCCACCATCAGTCTCCACGAGTCTTTTGCTTCTCCCTCCAGCATGTATTTGCGCAACTTGATGAGCATGGACACCGAAGAGATGATCCAGGCCCAGCCAGTCGACTCTGTTGTTCTCATCGGCGGTATGCCTCCCCCCTTTCCCTCGGCCGAACCCCTGAACTGACACCCCAAGAAGGCTGCGACAAAACCACCCCAGCCCAACTCATGGGCGGCATATCCGCCAACAAGCCCATCATCCACCTCGTCACCGGCCCCATGATGCCCGGCAGTTTCCAGGGCGTCCGCATCGGCGCGTGCACAGACTGCCGCAACAACTGGGCCAAATTCCGCGCTGGCACGCTCGACATAGAAGATATTGCCGCTCTCAACGAAGAACTTGCCCCCACCGTATTTCTCCCTCCCCCCTTTCCCCGCCCAGAAGACTAACCGTATTCAAGGGAGGAACCTGCGGAGTAATGGGCACAGCAAGCACCATGTCCTGCATCCTCTTTGCCCTCGGGCTGATGCCCATCTCCCTCCCATCCGCCACCGCGCCCGCCGTTTCTTCCTCCCGCCTCCGCATCGCCGAGAAAACCGGCACGATCGCCGTTTCCCTCACCAGCTCCCCCAATTTGAAACCCCAATCCCTTCTAACAAAAGAATCCTTCCTAAACGCCATCACAGTCCTCCAAGCCATTGGCGGCTCAACCAACGCCATCGTCCACCTCATGGCCATCATCAACCGGCACCCTCTCGTCTCCGGCCAAATCTCTCTCCAAACCATCGACGACAACGGCCGGCGTACCCCGTTGCTAGTAGATCTTAAACCCTCCGGGGAGAATTACATGACAGACTTCCACAACGCGGGGGGAATGCTAGCTTTACTCCACCAGCTAAAACCGCGACTACATCTCAACGCGATGACTGTTACGGGAAAAACACTCGGGGAGGAGTTAGCTGCAGCACCATTCCGTCCCCTGCCGCAAGGGAGTCCACTAAGCAATATCATCCACCCATTTTCCTCCCCCCTCTACCCCTCATCCAGTCTTGTGGTCATCAGCAAAGGAAATCTAGCCCCCGGCGGAGCCGTAATCAAAGCCTCCGCCTCCAAAAAGCGGTCACTGCTTAAACACAGGGGAAAAGCAGTAGTTTTCACCAATTCAAAGGACCTAGCAGAGCGGATCGACTCCCCCTCGCTAGAAGTAGATGCCTCGTCTGTATTAGTCCTGCAGAATATCGGACCGGTAGGGAACCCCGGGATGCCGGAAGCTGGATTAATCCCAATTCCGACAAAACTTGCGGTGGAGGGGGTAAGTGATATGCTGAGGATTTCGGATGGGAGGATGAGCGGGACGGCGGGGGGAACCATTGTTTTGCATGTCTCCCCCGAGGCGGCAGATCCAAATTCGGTGCTCGGGGTGGTGCGGGATGGGGATGTTATTTCCTTTGATGCCGAGGAGAGGTTTTTGGGTTTGGAGGTGAGTGAGGAGGAGATTGAGAGGAGGATTGAGGAGAGAAAGGGGAAGATCAAGGGGGAGGTGTGGAAGGGAAGGGAGGAGGTGAGGGGGTATAGGGGTTTGTATATGCGGGAGGTGAACCAGGCTGAGGAGGGGGCGGATTTTGGGTTCTTGACGGCGGCTGGGCCGAAGGGGAGGTAGATACTCGATAGAAACGGTCGAGGAGGAGCCATGCAACAGGCAGTGGGGCTGCGAAATCACGACTCTAAATTGCCGGGGCCATCTCGAGTATGAATTGTATGATTATCTTGGCGTTCTGAAGTAGTACTGCCATATTTGTAGGAGTTCTGCTTGTGGTGGTGGCAGTAGCGTAATGGGGAGACGATGACGGAGGTGATCATGAAGCTGGGGCGTTTGACGTCCTCGTTGATGGTTTGTTTGTCGAGGTCAGATGGGAGAATCTACAAACGCTAGTTAGCAGTACTCTTCGGTCTACGATAACCAAACCTCGAGGTTATCCTGATTCTGACACCAAACGAGGAAAAGCCGTTTGTTTAATAGACTACCGCAACCCCACGACTTAATTCCAACTACCGATAGGTACCTCTCGTCCACTTTCTCAAGCCTATTCTCTCTCTCTTCCGCCTCTTCACTCAGAGTACTCAACCACCGAAACCTGTAGCTATGGACGACGAATCACCGGCTCGGGCCAACGACCTGGTCCGTAACGATTCGAACGCTCTAAACACCGTCTACACGAAACCAGACGATATGACCAACGACGAGAAGATGATCTGCGATGATCTTCTAATTGCGGTTTCAAATGCCAACGGCACCGCCGAGATTGATGGAGATCTCGATACTCGCCATACCAAGCTCTGGGAGAAAGTGTCCTCTCACTGGGATACCAACCGTCATGCTCGTCACCCTGGAAAGCCTTTCAACCACGACGAAAGATTCGACTCCGTCCATATCGGTTGCTGGAAAGAGGACTTGCCCCCATCTGAGTCGGCCGTGAAGGAGGCGGCCCAAAAAAGCACGAGACACTTGACTGTACATCCTGTTGGCGAGTTCCTGCGAACCCGTAACATTTACGCCCATATGCGCGCCGTCCCCAACTTTGACCACAACGAGATTGCTTTTCACGTCCTCGACCATGACCACACTCGCGTGAGCCGCAAATTCGTCAGGTATCGCAACAACATGCCGTATGAGGATTGTTGTGGACTCGCCACCTATCAGTATGACGTGAATGAAGCATTTCCGCGTCACCAAGTGCAATGAAGAATTGGTTGTGTATTGGGCACGAAGACGACTGCTTCAACACAATATAGTGTTTCCAATCGAAGATTACGTGAACTTTGATACTACAGAGCTTCTCGTGTTCAAGTCATGCAGGGGGCTCCTCCACAGCTACGCCAAATCAATGGAACAAGTGTGCTCGGTAGTGGCCAGCTACGGGAATCCTTTTCCAGACCAGCACTAGGTTCGTCCACTGTTCGATATCGTATGCGAGTCATGAACTCACATCATCGTCACAGGTTTCATGAGCACCTGAAGGATGGGGGATACCGGCGGGTTGGAGGATCTCGCAGGATATTACCTCGCCTAGCGGTTTATTTTTCATGCCCTGGGGCAGAGAGGGATGGGCGTTTAATTTGGCAGAGATTTCCGCCGTGGTTTCGTTGACTTTCGTCTTGCTCTTCGTATTTGCTTCTAGATAACACTCAACATCCGACCTCAAAATTTGCCTGGTTTTTACAAATCATCTGTCTTTCAATGAATGTTCCCAAAGCCACAGTGATCCAACAGTAAACTCTGATTACTCTACCTTTCTCATGTCAGTCGAGGAGGCAAGAGAAAGAACGCCAATGAATTGAGCAAGAAACATGCTTTGGAAAGAGGGACGCCGCGATCTGCAAATTAGCAGTGATCGTGGCATGCTGGCAGAGTGTAGTCACGGTACCTAGTTTAGCAGGTAAAGACTGTGAAAAGTTTCCATGGTGATTCGATCTAATACTATCATGATCTCGTACGTTCACATTCATGACACTGAATTTGAAGACAGTAGACTCTAGGTTTATCTCAGGCTCCCGCTACATTTCCTACAATACAACCTGTACCAGTATTCAAAGACAGATGGCAGGGAGAGAAGGTGATTTTCCCGGGCAAAAAGTCTACTCCCAGTCCTGTCTGATATCAGAACCATGGTTGCGGAACTTGAAAAAATTATA